GGAGCAGCAAGGAGGAAGGCAACAGCTCTGCCCCAATATATCTGCCCTAGGGGGACCTTGCGTTTTCGGTGTGAGCAGCCTGATGTGGGAGGGCGCGAAGGGGAGCGCCATAAATTTACAGGCTGGAAAAAGAAAAGAATCCTCTAAAAATGATCTCAAATGTCTCAGGTTCTTTCTACTGGGTACAAATAAAAAGGACGAGAAACGCTGGGTGAGGGAATTTAATTAATCACAGAATTAAAATAGGGGAGCTGACCTGAGACTTCCTTTATAGTGCAAAGTGAAGGGAGTGAATGGCGCCGGTTATACTTTAACTCTGGAGGAATCCAGGGGAAGAAGAAGGGCGGGTTTACAAAGGGGACGGGATTTTTCTGCCTCTGCCCGGCCGCAGCCCGGGCTCCATCCATCATGTCAGCCGTGCACGGCCGTGCGCACGCGTGAGGCGCGGGGGGCGCGGGTGCTCCCGGCCGAAATGGGCCGGTGGGTCTCTGGGGACACCACCCAGCACAGTTGCTCACTGAGGGCCCTTGCCTAGAACCGCGGAGGGCGATCCAGCCAAACTCGAGCGGGAACAGACCAAAGACAAAACAAAGCAATGAAACATGCCCCAGAATGCCTCAAAAGGTGGCCTGTAGAAGTCCCACCAATGTGTCCCCGTTCCCCCCCGGACCATCGCTCTTGGGTGACTCTTTCACTGCTGTGCCTCGATGCTTCCCTGGTGTACTCCGCTCTCTGCCTGGGGTGCCCCAGTTTGCACGGGCTCCTGCCTGGTGACCCTGCTCCTTGCCTTGTGCCCCCTGCTCTTAATCTGGTGTCTATTGCTCTTTTCTTGATGTCCCCTGCTCCTTCCTTGATGTCTCCCAGTCCTCCCATGGTGGGGAGGCTGAGGCTGAGGGTGCTGGGCTGAGGGGCTCCCCCCACTGAAAGCCTCTTTTGTGTCCCCGCTGTTTCCCTCCCCAGGTGGCTGCGAGTGGCCTGGGCCGACGACGTGAGGCGCAGGGCGGCGGTCAATGTTATTTGAGCGGGGGCCGCGGGCCTCGGCGATCGCAGAGCAGAGGATGCAGAAAGCCGCCTACTACGACAACGCGGGGCTCTTCGGGGGCTACACCTACAGCAAGGCCGACGCCTACCCCTACGGCGCGGCCCACCAGCCCTACGGCCAGGCCGGCTTGGACAGCGAGTACCCCGGCTCCGCCTGCTCCGTCCAGGGCTCGGCGCCCGGACGCGCCCCGGCCCACAAGGGCAGCGAGCTGAGCGGGAGCTGCATGCGGCCGGGCGGGGGCGGCCCCGGGGGCAGTCAGCCCCCGGGGATGGGCGAGCAGCAACCCCCGGCCCTGCCGCCCTCCTCCCCGCCCAACCCCCCTCCCAGCGTGCCCCCTCCGAAAAAAGCCAAGGGGGGCCCAAACTCCTCGGGCTCGGCCACCACCACTCTCAGCAAGCAGATATTCCCCTGGATGAAGGAGTCCCGGCAGAACTCCAAGCAGAAAAGCACCTGCGCCCCCCCAGGTAGCCCAACACCCTCGCCCCAGCCCACTGTTTGCCCAGGGGGTGGGGCTGAGCCCCTGGGGCTGAACCCCTCTGGCTGAACCCCCTGGTCCCGCATCTTGTCCCCTACTCCTCCAGCTACTATCGCCTACACACCCCGCTCGGGGGTCCCGGCCCTGCCGGGCGCTGTAGCTGGGGCAGGCTAGGGGCTCCCGCCTCGCTCCCCCACCAGCCCAGCGGCGGCAGGCGCAGCCCCGACGGCTCTCGGTAGCGCCTGGACGGGGGGCCGCTGGAGGTCTGTGGGGGGAGCTAGCTGCGGGAGGGTGTGTATGTCGAGCAGCGAGGGGTGGGAGGCCACCCCCGGGTTCCCTGTGCCCACTCCCTGGGTGCCGGCAGAGCGAGAGGGGACGGCGGGTCTCCGAGGGACCCCGGGAGGAAGGGGAGGGGGGGTTTTCTAGGGAGACCAACGTGTCTTTGTGCCTCTTCCCCGCAGGAGAGAGCTGCGAGGACAAGAGCCCCCCCGGGCCGGCCTCCAAGAGGGTGCGCACAGCCTACACCAGCGCGCAGCTGGTGGAGCTGGAGAAGGAGTTTCACTTCAACCGCTACCTGTGCCGACCGCGCCGTGTGGAGATGGCCAACCTGCTCAACCTGACCGAGCGGCAGATCAAGATCTGGTTTCAGAACCGCCGGATGAAGTACAAAAAGGACCAAAAAGCCAAAGGCATCATGCACTCCCCCGTCGGACAGTCCCCGGACCGCAGCCCCCCCCTGAGCGGCCCAAACCACGTCGGCTACTCCAGCCAGCTCCCCGGCGTCAACAGCCTCAGCTACGACGCGCCCTCGCCCACCTCCTTCGCCAAGTCCCAGCAGAGCATGTACGGGCTGGCCGCCTACACGGCGCCGCTGAGCAGCTGCCTGCCGCAGCAGAAGCGCTACGCGGGCGCGGAGTACGACCCCCACCCCATGCAGAGCGGCGGCGGCGGCTTCGCCAACCCCAGCCTGCAGGGCAGCCCCGTCTACGTGGGGGGCAACTTCGTGGACTCGATGCCAGCCTCAGGCCCCATGTTCAACTTGGGGCACCTGCAGCACCCCTCCTCCGCTAGCGTGGACTACAGCTGCGCCGCACAGATCCCCGGCGGCCACCACCACGGACCTTGCGACCCCCACCCTACCTACACGGACCTCTCCTCTCACCACACCTCTCAGGGACGGATGCAGGAGGCGCCCAAGCTAACGCATCTGTAGCGGGGCGGCGGCCGGCGGGGCCCGCTCCCCTCTCCATTACCTCACTTTTCTGACGGGACAGTGTTACTGTGCTCTCGAGTGCCAACAGTATTAGTGGATTTGTCTCCCCTAGCAGCTCCCTTCTTTCTTCCGCACCCCCGAGTAGGTCCGTGAGCAGGAGCCTTTCTCTTAGAGCTGTTTTAAGCATGACAGTGCAATATACTGCCAACCGAGGGACTGATAAGCTGGTAATGATGTACTTGAAGGTAAGTCTTAGAAATGCCGTAGTGTTAGCAGCGCGTCATGCTGAGGTGTTTTAGACCAGTCGTAAGCCGTGGGAACTCGCCCGCGTGTAAGCTTATTTCAGAGAAGTTAATTTATGAATTCCTCCGTAACGTAAGGATCACATTGGACTAAATGATATGTATTTATTATTTTAAGCGAGACATTTTTTGTATCACTGATTATTTATCCTCGTCTTAATGTATTTATGTGGGTATTTGTAGAGTTTCTTCACCAGTACTTCGGGAGAGCGATTCAGGTCCGTGGTGACTTACATTTCACCTATTTAGTATAATCGGTCTGAGCTAGTTGAGAGAGTAGTCTTGAACAGTTGTAACAGTGGCTGGTGTTTGTAGTTTATGTAAGGATTAATTAAGACAGCAAGTCGTAAATCATTAATAGAGTAAAACAAACTGTGGCATCACACAAAGAGCCATTACACTTAAAAAAATATTGAGAGTATTTTTAAAGTATTTATTTCTAATCGGCTGGCCCCACTCGAGCGCCTCGGTGGCTTGGCTGGCAGCTGGCTCGGCCGGGTGAAGCCACCTTTAGTTGGAAGCGCAGCCGCTTTGATGAGGCCATCTACAAAGCGGGGCTATTGGCCATCTTGTTTCAGATCAAATCCTGCATACAAAAACCTCGGTGAGGTTAACATTTATTTATTGGCTGGGTATCTATCGCACGTATTATTATTTCGGTGGGCTTTTTTTTTTTTTTTTTTTTTTAATTACACTCTGGCTATCTGAAATAGAAATTAGAAGCTTAGAGAGCAAAAAAATTAGAAACCCTCTGATAGTGCTAATTTCATTAGGGTCTCCATAGCAATCCGTGCAGCAGCTGCCGCCTCCTTTGTTATTTTTATACTGTTGTCCTTATACTAACCATAAATCAATTTTTAGACATCTTTGGAAGCCCAAGCTTTTCCTCTTGGTTTTGTTTTGGTTTTGGGTTTGTTTTTTTCATAAAAATAAACTTTGAAAGAAAATTGACAATCAGATACACACAGCCGAAGGGAGACGCCGGGACAGGGTCCGGGCAGAGGCCGGGCGGTGCCACCGCGCTCCCCCGGCACCCGGCGAGGACGGTCCTGCCCCGCCTGACTGCGGCAGAGGGGCACCGCCGCCTCCCTCTGACACGAACAGGACAGTTAACAAGGGGAAGGAAAAAAAAAAGAAGACAAAAAATAAGAGAAAAAAAAAGGGAACGATGTTCTGAACCCTCGTGTTTCCTCCTCTCTAGTTACACGGCTGTATCGAACCCCTCGCTGGATTTACAGAGATTATTTCTTTTGTAAACGCTGTTATTAAAGTCTCTTCCTGACAGTACATGTCGCTCCGAGAAAACCATTCTTCTCTCTTTCTGAAAGTGTCGAGTTAAAGATTAATCCAAACTTCTGTATTCCCCACCAAAGTGTCTGATGCGTCACTTTCCAGTTTGACAAACACTGCAGCTCCTATTCCATCCTCTAATGACAGGACCTGGCATTCCTATTGTTCGAAATATTTTACCACCTCCAATCCTGGTCAACACAGACAAGTTTTCATTATTTATTCTTCTTTTCTTTCCCATCCCTTCTTCCTTTCTCACCATCTGGTATTTATGTTCGGCTGAGCAGTAACAATTCAAAATATTACTTAGGGTTTTATTTTCCCCTCTGGGCGATTTTAACAATGCTGCGCTAAATTAAAAAGTGTATCTTTTGTTAAATTTCACTTTTAACCAAGCAAATTCGGATATATGTGTTATAGATCTGTAAACGAAACAGAACAGAATAAACTACTTTTTTTTTGGAGACATATTTTGACAATTTTAAGCCCTGAAATTGCTTTCTATGGAAGTTTTCACACAAATTGTTTCTTAGGAGCTCCATCCAGGAGTAAACAAAACATAGAAACAACACAAAAAGTAATGCTAAAAACCACTCGTAATTTATACTTCTATAATATTCCATAAATATATATATATGTTTGTCTCTCCAAAATTTTCTGTAATCAATGTACCCACAACTGAAATTGTCCACGTAGGTTTTTTGTGTGTTCTTGAAAACACAATATATTTTGCATCACCTGCTTCTGTCTGCAAAACGTCAAGGCACCACTATTTCTGCAGGGTAACCCAGTGTTCTCCTCCCTTTTGCTTCATGCTCTGTAGGCTGTTCTTCAGTGTCTGCTCTGACTTACACTGTTAGTCCTTCATTAAATCTGCTAAGAAAGAAAAGGCTGTTTATAGATAGCCCTTCCCCAGATCTGAGGAAGAAGGGGGTTTCAGAGGAACCCTAACCACAAACACAGTGTTACTGAGGCACATTGCCCTGAATTATTTTAATATTGAACAGAAAGACGGGGTCTGCAGACCTGGTTTCCAGTGGGGGAGGAGGAGGAGCATGCGTGAGGGGGAATCTTCTTGTAAATAAATTCACTTTCTTCTCCATGACTCTGGCAGAGGCGTCTTGTTTGTAATGCGATAGAAGTCTGTGATGATAACCTAATTATTAGAAGTAATGTTACTTTAGCGAGATCACTGGCATTTTTACAATGTTTGTACAAGCATCAGCAATCCAGAAGAGAAATACACTTTGGCACAAGCCAGACTTTTTCTTGGCCCATCATTTAAAACCCATAAATTATAAACAACCCCCTTTCACACTCAATAGGAACTTAGCTCCTTTGCAGCAGCATCTGATGTGATGAACTCCAGTCACCTATTTAAAACACAACTACTCAGGCAAGGCCGGGCCTGGGTCTGATTTTACCCTCTCCTTTCTTTACAAATAGGAGCCATAGCACCCCTTCCTCTCCTTCCCTGCTCCCTCCATCTGCTCCAGACCCATAAAAGGGTCACTGAGTCAGGGCCTCTAAATGCTGGCAGTGCTGCTGCAGTGTTTGGGATAAGGAGCTGCTGACAGCACTGGTTGAGAGATGTCAGGAGTACACCAAGCTTCAGTGAGGCCATGCAGGTTCTCCTGTTCAGATTAGTGGGTTGTTTTGGCCTTTACGGTAACCCACTGTAATGGGTTTAATGGGTTTGCAGCAGTTTCCCCGCTGCAAAAAGGAGAGAGGCTTTGTGTTAGCTCCCTGAAGCCAGTGTGGGGCTGAGCTGCCCTTTTGCACCCTGTTTCTTTTGAGGGGGCCTCATCCATGTCCCACTGCCTCTGGTCTGGTGAGCAGCACCAGGGCAGGGGAACTTAGGCACAGCCAGGGGCTCCCAGGGATGTCACAGTCTTGTGTCATTTGTGTGGGGCTGGGAAAACAAAGCCAAATGTCTCCTGCTCCATTAGCAAGTGCTTCATGGTCAACCAATGCAGGCTCCCAGCCCTGGTCTCTGGGAAGGCCAGGGAGGGACTCCAGGGCATCCTACATGGCTACCACTATGAGACCACACCTGGGTCACCTGGGGCTGCAAGCAACCTCGTTCAAAGGTGAAGAGAAGGCAGCTGGCTGCACACTGAGGAGGCAAGGACAGGCGGGGGGAGGCTGGCTAAGAAAGAGGGAGCCTACTGGTACCCACTAGAAGTTCTCCGAATTACTTGGGGACCAGCTGGAGCACTGGAGCTGCATGGTAAGAATTCTGAAGGCAGGATCCACCACTGGGTTCTCTGCATCCCTTCAGCCCCATTAGAAGACCAGTGAAACAGCCTGCTGGTTGGTCCAGGCATGAAAGGGTCTACTTGACTAGGGAAAAAAACAGGGCAAAGGGTATGGGGCTGCTGGTCTACCACTGGGAAGGTGCCTTGCTCACAACTGTTGGCTGAGGAGGGAGGGAAGGAGCTGCAGGTTGTAATGCCCTCCTTCTATGTGCCAGCCTACCATGTGTGCCCAGTGGCCACACACAAACAGCAGCCTGGTGAAGGCACAGTGTGCTGCACGCTGGACAGGCCCAGACACCCAGCACTGCCACCGCAGACCTGCCTGGGAACAAAAGCTGGAGCCAGATGGGCAGCACAAAGGGGCTGGTGCTGCTGGGGCAATTAGGGCTGTGGTGGTTGGCTGGGCACCACATGATGACCTCTGCTTTTAAAAAGTGCATGATGGGCTGGATCAGAGCTCCATTGGCTGCAGTCACGTTCCAGGGATTGAGTGGCAAGTTAATCCCTGAATGGGCAACATCCCTCTGTTCCCCTGTGAGAAGCAGCAGCGGGTAGCTGTGGTCCTTGCTGGGAGTGGGGCTGGAAGAGGAGTGAGGGGGCTGGCTCTATTAAAGGTCATCAATCACACAAAGAGCACTTTCTACTTGACAGTGGTTCCTCCTACTTCTGCTTGGGCCTGAGCCAGCTGGGACCTGAGCCGAAACCCCATCCAGCAGAAGCACAACCCAGCCCCAAGGCCTGAGAGCCATGGAGTAACATGGCAGGGCAGGACCGAGCCCCTTCATCAGGGGCCTTTGTTGGTTTGTCTGTGTTAACAGGGCCACTGCTTAAACCTCCAGTGTTTACTTACCTCTCTTCAGGATGCCCACCCACGCCCTAGCTGTCTCCACACCATGGATGTACATCCCCACGTACCACTGAGAACCGGCTTTTCCCCCGCTGGTAGTGTTGTGGCAGCAGAGAGGCAAGGCTATGCTTGAGCCCGACCTTCCAGGTCTGGAGGCTGGGGAGGGATATGTTGATCTCCCGTTTGTTACTTATTGTGACAAGTGCAGAGGGTGGAGTCTTGCTCCAGAGAGGAAAGGCAACATGTTCCAATCTCAAAGCAGTGTCTGTGGCTCAGGGCTGCCATTGCCTTCAACACACATACTGCTCAAGCAGCTTCCCTAAGGCATTGCTGGTAAGTGTCTGAAACCACCTAGGGCTTTTTGGCCAGGCTTTTTCCTATATCATGTCTTGGTTTCACAGTGGCTATCTCAGGCTTTGCAGTGGCCCACACTTCCAGAAACATGGTGACACAAGGAATCATTTGGACCATTTTCCTCACAGAGGTTTTTGCCCCAGCAGCTTCCCTGTCTAGTGCCATCACTCCACTGCTCATGCAGACATCCCTAAACCTCTCAACCATTCTTAAATTGCCTTTGACAGCATCATGTTCTTCACACTCTTTTTAACCCACTTTTCTTCTTCCTCTTTCTGACTTCCACAGAGTCCTTCCTCTCTCCCATTAGACTCTTTGTAAAAAAACAACTGCAGTTGTTCTACTCTGTATCACTGGAACTTAGCTATTTAAGTCTGAACACTGTGAAATTCGGGGATGTAGAAAAAGCCCTCCCTCAAAAGCCAGGACATCAACAAGAGATGTTTTGCCTGTATTTAGCCGCTGATTTCTGCTTTTGTCACCCTTGAAGAATCCTGCAAAAACAAACAGGTAATGAACAAGAAACTTGGTAACAGAATCCAGCTGGGTAAATGGAAAGATCATATGTTGGTGTGAACAGAGACAGTTCTTCTAGCATTTAAAACAGTCTTAGGTGTAACAAAACCAGTTGCATTCTGCAAACAGAAGACTCGAGTAAAGCAGCAGCCCTACTCTTTCCTTCCCTGTGGGCAGGAGTTTTTACAGCAGGGGAGACTGAAGAGCAGAGATACTCTCCTGCATGGACATTCTTTCTCTGCTGAAGACAAAGCCTGGTGTTCCCTGGCTTCTGATTTTTCAGAAGATGACATTTTCCAAACTGCTCTGATTGCCATGGGTGTGCTGAGCAAGTTTGCATCATCCAGAATTCAACCTCTCAGAATGTATGTTTTCCAACAAGGTGTATTTGATTTAAACGGTTTTTCTATTTCATAGCTCCGAAAATGGAAATTTAGGTGATACTCCATTACTAGTGCAGCAGGGCAGCACAGCCCGTAAGAGTGAACAAGTCTGTGCCAGGAGAACACCTAGCTTCAGGGTTTTGGGCTTTCAGTGACTGCTGTGTCTGTAAACTTGAAGTCTAGCCTTAAAGCAGTAATCTGTATAGCCAGCCTTTGCACTGTAAGAGTTGTTTTATAGTAGATGGGCAATAAGCTGGGGAGATAGAAGACCATGTTGCTGGTCAGAGCCCATATGCAGGGAAATGCTACTGTATCCTTGCAGGCCTGTGTATGCCTGTTCCAGAGATGTGTCCTCTCAGGGCCCCTTGCAGGAAAAAAACCCAATCAGACCTGCTCTGAATCATCAACTAGGTGTAATGGTGGGGCATCTGGGGCTGAGCTGCAGAGCACAAGTCTCTATAGGAAAGAGTTGAGGCTGAGTCAGTGAAATGGTCTGATTATGTCTCCCCATGGTGTCCCTTCCCTGTCATCAGCTCAGCCCTCTGAAATCTGCAGAAAATCCAATAGAATTTTTCCTTCTCTGGGGATTCTGGCTGCCTTTGAGTGGTTGGCACCATGGCACCATGTTTAGTCCTCACAAAATTTGTGGCCTCTTCCTGACCACAGCAAATAGCATTTTGGCTGAGAACTTGTAGCTGTTGAGTGGAAGGCACTGGATGATGGATGAAGGCATTTAAATTTCTTGCGTTTATTTAGAAATAAAATATTTTTTAAAATAAAATACAACCCTTGCATTTCCCAGCTGAGACCACATCCACTTCTTAAGAATTAGAAGGTTGCCTGTCTAATTTCAAGCAAAATGATAGCCCTTCTTCATGTTGTCTGTCCAGTTCCAAGTCACCGAAGGCCAAGCGAGCTCTGGCCAGCACATCCTTTTCTGTTCTGAACTGCACTGACACGTGGTTATCAGTTGAGGTGTTGGATGAAACCCATCGTTATCCAAATCAAACATAAATGTGGCTCAGACTGGATGATCAAGTGTCACTTGGAGACATCTAGGGAAAGACAATCACTTTTAGAGTCCAGGTTTCACCTCCTCCACCTTGTTCCTGTTTCTTGCCACTCTGTAGGGATGAAAACCAAGAGAGAGAGCGTTTGGCTGGGCAGTGTAACTTGATTCGCTCTCTGCTAGCTGCAAACACTCAGTAAACAATGCCGAATTGTCAAGGGAAAAATGAAAGTCCATTAATGGGGTGAGCCCGGGGATTCACTTTTGGGAGGCTGCAGAGCACTTATCTGACGGAGTGAGACCATTAAGTGCCACGAGGTGCAACAACAACCCCCCAAGCGCCTCAGCCTCAGGGTCTGGACAGCCTGGGTGTGCCTCCGCACGCTGCCGCTCCCCGGGGCCGCGTGGGTTCCCGTGGGAGCCTCCAGGAGCCTGGCCGGCAGCAGGGCAAGAGGCAAACCTAGCCGTGGAGGGAAGCCCAGGTTGCAGAAAGGCGCCACCTCTAAACTCCCGGCAAACGTTCCAAGTGCGCGGCGACTCCATCGACTCCAGAGGAAGCGGCTTGTCCCAGGGGGATCCCGGGAGTGCTCGGGGGACTGCCCACCTGAGCCCCGCGCCGGCCCTGGGCAGCCAGGCGTGGGCAGGGGAGCCGGCGGAGCCCGGGACCCCCGGTGCGGGCTCCCCCCGCCGGGCTCCCATTGGCCGCGGGGCGGGACGTGCCGCCCCGCTCCCGGCCCTATATTAGGGCAATATTGCCCCGGCGGACAGGTGTGGGGAGCGGCGTTGCCCCGCGGGTCATGGATCTGGGGTACTTTGCCCTCGCCTTTCCGCCGGGGCTGTGCCGCGGGGCCCCGTGCCCGCAGCGAGGGGACGACGCCTCCCTGGGGCTGGGCACCACGGCCAGCGCCGCGCCCCCCCTGCGGGCGGCGGGGTACGCGGCCACCCCCGCGGCGGCGCCGGGCCCCTGCTGCCGGCCGTCCCGCGGAGCCGGACCGCCGGGATACGCCACGTCCATCCTTCCCGAGAGCGGCCGCTCGCCGCCGCAGGACTCCGCCCGCCCCTGCCCCTGCCTCGGCGGGGGACTGCGGGGCATCTCGCCCTGCCCCTGGACCGCCCCCGCGCCCGGCTCCACGGCCCCCGCGGCGGCCCCGGCGGGGCCCCGCACCTTCGAGTGGATGCGAACGAAGCGGAGCCCGCCCAGGAGAAGTGAGTGGAGCTGCGGCGAGCGGGCGGGGACTGCTCCCATCCCGGCTCTCCTCTACCCCCTCTCCCTCCTCGGCCCCGACACCCGCCCCGCTCCCTCCCCCTGCCTGTGCCCCCGCTGAAGCGCGGTGTTTTTCGGCGTTGCAGGCGGCGCGGCGCCGTGCGGGGGGGAACCTCCCGCCTGCCCCGCACGCACCAGCTTCAGCACCCGGCAGCTCACGGAGCTGGAGAAGGAGTTCCACTTCAGCCGGTACCTGTCGCGGGCCCGCCGCCTCGAGGTGGCCCGCTCGCTGCGCCTCCGCGACGCCCAGGTGAAGGTCTGGTTCCAGAACCGCCGCATGAAGCAGAAGAAGCGGGAGCGGGAGGCGCGGGCCGCCCCCGCCGCTGCCCCGGGTGGCCCCGCCTGAGGCGCCGCCGCTCCCCACGGAGGGGCCCCCGGGGGCGTCGGGGCTGGGCTGGAACCTGCGGCCGGCGCGGCACACGGTCCTTTCGTGCGGGACCGCGGCGGTGCAGCTCTGCTGCTTTTTTTCTGTTGCAACTTTATGTATAGTTTTATTTACGAGGATTCAGGGAAAGGTGTCTCGGTCCGGGCCGGAGCAGCGGGCGGGCGCCTCGGGGAGATAGAGGGGAAGGTTCGCTCCCCTGGGCAAGGCAGCGAGCAGCTCCACCAACTCCACTAGGTGCACAGGGAACTGTCCCACGCTCCTGACCCCTTCTTCGTTTTGCATTTAAAAAGAGAGATCCGTAGGCTCAGAGTTGGTGCAGAAGAAGGGAAAAAACCCCTAGAAGCAGAGGGGAGCAGGAAACTTCCTCTCACGGGAGGGGGCAGGGATGGCCACAGCTACCACCAGTATGAGTCCAAGATCACCTTTCGAAAAAAGTGTCCTTGTCTTCTGCCCTGCCCTTCACAAAATTGCTGCAAAAAAGAGTTTATGCTTGTATTTATTCCTCATTCATTCTCGTCCTTTTCCCTGATGTGCCTGATTTAGTAAAAAAATCTGTTTAATAACTGTTGGGGAAAATTTTAAAAGAAAAAAAGTCTTAGGAGGAGCACCTCATGCCATTCGAACTACAGAAGTGCTGGGATTTTCCTTGCAGAGGCTCTGGGAGGCCTGGGACTGGCCAGCAGCTGCTCTGCTGACTCCCAGCGCCTCTCACATGTGCTCAGGCAAGAACAAGACAATATTAAGCCTCTTACAATGTCTAGAGCCAGACTCTCAGTTCATCCAGCTTTCTCAGGCTTCATTGTATTTTATGGTTAACAAAATGCACTCTGTTAAATCAGTTTGAAACAAATCTTACCACATACAAAACCTCAAGGCCTGTTAAAGTGCAGGAAGATGCTTGAGTTTGACCACAGACTTCTGCCAGCAAAAGACCAAGAGGATTCCTAGGTCTTTTACTTGGATACTTGTTCAAAAAAGATTGGCAATGACTGATTACCTCATACAAGTGCAAAATTCACCAGTGATCCTCACTTCTCCTGAGTTCATATTTCACAGAGCGAAAATAGTAGTATCAAAGTAGACAAAGGAGCCACATTTAGACTTTTTTCCCATCTCTGACTGAGAATGCGTAACAACAATGTGGAGAGTAATGACATCTGGATTTATGTGAGGGTGATTTTATTTATTTGTGGACAAGTCTTTTATTTTG